TGCCTCTCCAACATGGACGCATGGGTGGATGTGGCAGTACAATCAAAAGAAAGAAAAGTCACACTTTGCATGCATGACCCCCCTTGTTAATTAAAAAATCAAGCTCAAGTGCAAATAAAACAACAAACTGTGCATTTTGTGGAATTTTATCTTCTTTCTCATGTGCAAGTTCAGATTGTTATTCTCCCCACTGTGAAGAGGAATTTGTCGTTTGGCGAGGAGTTCAGTGGATGGCAAGGTGCATCCAAATCAAAGGCAACTTACAAGTTTCAAAGTGGCCTAAACCTACATACATGTACATTTGCTTGTTTTAAAGTATATGTACAGAAAGTCTGACACATATATTATGCAAATATCTTCACAAGTGCCTTTATTTGAAAAACAATTTTTGGGGTTTTGGGTGCTCACTAAATGTTCTTTCTAACAAAACATACTTTAACAATTAGCTTTGTCCAAGTTCAAATTTTCCTGATCACCCCACAAATGTGGCTCATTTTCAGACAGACCATTTCTTATCTCCACCAGACAGAATAATCTCTGTTGTCTTCTGTGTTTTACATTACAAACTAATTGGATTAGTGGTGCAGCCCACACAAGATTCAATTCTGGCACTGTAACCTGGCCGCAGAGCGATGTTTTGGGCCCAAAGTTAACAGGCACCCATCCCCTCAATTGGCAGCAATCATTTGTGTAAATGTGTCTGGCTGATAAGCAGCTAGATCTATTATTAGATTTAGTTCTTCCATTATTAGCTCACACCACACCAAAAACTGGGTTTACTTTTCCTCCATGGAAAAAATAGATATTTAAAGTAAATTTAGAAGCCTGCGATAGTCAAGTCATCGTTCTTTTTCTGCACATGGCAAACGGCAAAGTGAGGATTTCCTGTGATTAAGGCTACAACCTTTAATGGAAGGACAGATCTGTAAGTTCAGGAGTTGAGTTAGTGGGGACGGGAAAACTTGGCCCAGAAAGACTTATGTTGAATAAAATTTGCTCAGACGACAAGATTTTTGCAATAAGTGTAAACGTTTTCAATTACTACGTACGAGTACGAGTGCATGTACATGTACAAGCATTTTATTCAGTTCAAATGACCAAGCTACTTAAAATGCTAAGCATTCCAAAAGTAATTACCAAAATAGTGAAATATGTTCAAGGAGAGATGTTGTTAACTACCTGTATACATGTATACAACTGTCGTTTTTTCACCCTACATACACAAGACAATTCGAACAACAGCCATTAAGGCTAAGTCAATTCAAATAATTGAAGATTTCAAATTTCAACCTGCCAATCAGTTGAATATTTGAATATTTGGTTGAAACAAGATGGAAAAAAAATTCTCACAAAGAAAAAAATGCAAGGAAAACAATTTGGGCCTTATTTTGGGGCATATGCATTGATCTTAAAATTTACCTGTAACACCTTAATTGAAATACATGTAAACTTTTAAAATACAATTTTGTATCGAAATAATTGATTTTTTCCCTTTTTCCAATTTTTTTTACACCCAAATATTTGATTTTGCAAATTAAAAGTCAATAATTGACTGAATATCTGAAAATTGAAATAATTGGTACAGACCTACGGTAACAGCCATTGGTTGAC